GAGCCCCCCAGAGCCCACATGTCCGGTTTTATCCCACCTGGCTGCTCAGCTCCGCCCTCACGTCCCTGCGTGCTTCTTCTTGGTACTGATGGGATTTGGAGTTCCAGCATGGAGTGGGGGCGGAGTCCGTGAAACCTGTATCTGTTACAACTTCACAGTGCCGCGCTCCAACCGGCTGCGCCACCAAGAAGGGCCCCCTCGTTTCTTCTGTGCTCTCCATTAGCATGTCGTCTACACCCAGGACTTCAACTATTGTTTGTTTTGAAAACTATCAACTTTTAGTTCTATTCAAGCCGGTGTCCTGAATTATAGACTCATACTCAAATTCCATACCAGTTGTCATTATTTTCACTAAATTATCCCAACGTGTCTAATATTATAGTGGCTTAAACAAGATGGAAGTTTATTTCTCTATTTCTTATGAGGGACCCTCTCAGCTTTTGTTTCCACCAACCTCAAGTTTGCTTTCTGGTCCAGTGTAGCTGCTGGAGCTCCACCCATCCTGTCCAAATTCCAGGCCTGAGGGAGGATGAAGGGGTCTGGGCGGCTGCTCCCTGTGCAGATACCAACCCAGCCCTAGTCTGCCTGGCTTTCCTGACTCTGAAAGAACAAAACTTTTTTTTATTTTTTCAGAAGCAACCCACATTTGGTTTATTTATTTGTATTGTGGAAAGATACACATACTATAAAACTTACATTTTAACCATTTTTTTAACTGTACCATTCAATGATATTAATATATTGACATCGCTGGGCACCTGTCATCACCATTCATTGCCAGAATTTTTTCACTGTCCCAAATTCCAACTCCATCTCTCTCCTTTTTTTTTTTTTTAAATGTAATAGTTTATTTTTACATCATTTTGTACATTTTTTTTAACTCAATTGTAATCATGTGCCATCACCATGCACTCCCCTCCCCTCCCCGTTTTTTTCCCCACTCCACCCCCACAAAATGTCTCTGGTATATGACTGTTCATTATTATTATTTGCTCGCCTGGTCCATTATACTCCTGCTATGAGCGAAACCATCCGGTATGAAAGAATGAAACTTTTATCTGAACAAGATAAGAAGAAATACCAGCTGGTCCAGTTATCACTGAACAGCAAAACCTCCCCAAATAGAATGGCATAACATAAGCACCATTTGATTATGCCCACCGTAAGAATTTGAAAGGGACATGGGCATTGACATATGAATCTTTGGGATCAACTTGTCAATTTCTACAAGAATAAAAATTTCCTGGGATTGCACTATGTCAATCAGTTTCCGGGATATTAATATCTTAACAATATTGAGACTTCTGATCCGTGACCATGACAAATTTAGTCTTTAGTTCTCTAATAACGCTTTGTGATTCTCATTATATAGATCTTGAGTATTTTTATTATTTTTATCCCTAAATGTTTCATAGTGTTGGAATGATCATGACATTTTAACCATTAATTTCTTTTTTTAAGATTTATTATTATTTATTTATGCACATAGGAACAGGACATGTAGGCTAGAGGTATGGGGTGAGAGGATTCACCAGAGACAGAGTAGGGAGCAGAACAGGCAGCTCCACTGAAATACACTACTAAGGGGAGCAGCAGGCAAGACAAGAGAGGTCTGCTGCACCATGTGGGTCACCTCCCTGGCTGGGGATCTAAACCATGCTGCAGTGGCTGGTGATAGCTTGGCAGCACTGTGACTTTAAAGCCTGCACCACGAGGGAGGCCCTGATAATGATTTTTTTTTTTATTTCAGCACCCAGTTGTTCATTTCTAATATATAATACACAACAAGATTTTGTGTATACACATACACATATATATGCATCTTATATCCAAGCAAACATCCTAAACTCATCTATTAGTCCTAGTAGCTTATTTTGTAGATTTCACAGAATTTTGCATCTGATGATCATATCTTCTGCAAATAAAGACAGTTTTACTTCTTCCTAGCTAATCTGGATAGCTTTTGTTTTTCTTGACTTACTGTTCTAGAGGCTAGAACCTCTAGCATAATGTCAAATAGAAGTGGAGGAGTAGACATCTGTGTTTGTTCCTAATCTTAAAGGAAAATCATTCCGTTATTTCACCATTAAGTATAATGTTGCATTAGTCTCATATGGGAATTTTCATTATTTTTTGATCAATATGAACTTCAGAAAAATATCAACTTATACACTATCCCTAGCAATACGTGAAAAAGTGCTTTTTCTTATATCCTGATCAACATCAATATTGTCTTAGAAAAATGAGTCTGCAATTCTTAATGTTATCTATTTATTTTAAATTTATATTTATTTTATTATTAATGGAGGTCAGCACATTTGAAGTTTATTGGCTAATTGTATGTCTTTTATTAGTAGTCTAGTTCAACTAGTCCTCTGCCTATATTTCTAACATGTACTTACTTTCTTCTTCATAATTTTATAATATTTTTTAAATGTCTAACGTCCTTAGTTAAGTATATCTGTCATATGTGGCTGTCAATATTTTTCTTTTAAAGTTTTTAAAGTTGGGCCCTTCATGGTGGTGCAATGGGTTAAGAAGCAGCACTGTGAAGCTTGGCACAGCCATGTCAGTGCAAGTTGGATCCCCGGCAAGGGAGTTGACCCACATGGCTCAGCAGACCTCTCCTGATCTGTCCACTGCTCCCCTCAGTAGTATACTTCATCCATTTGCCTGCTCTGCTCCCAGCTCTGTTTCTGGTGAATCCTCTCACCGCCCCTGCGTCTCTGGCCTGTACCCCAGTTCTGTATGCATAAATAAAATAAATCTTTAAAAATAATAAATTTTTAATTTATCATTTGGCAGTTCTTAACTTTTAAGACACATCTGCCCACCTGTGTCTATGCAGGTGTTTCTTTTTCCTTTTTCTCTTTTCCTTAATAAACTTGCCGCGTGTGGATGAATGGGAAAATCTGTTGAATTCTTTCTCAGACAGACCCAAGAACCCCACGTATGGAATTTTATCATCTGAACCCCACTAGCGGCTCACTATACAACTGGGAGCCAAACAATGGTAACCTCATACCATCAGACCAGTGTCACCTTTACTGACACTGGTTCTCTAAGCATTCAAGTTATGAGGACAGATGTTCTGACTTTGTAGAAAATTAGTTTTGAGTAACTTAAATTCAAAATTATAATGACAAAAGACAATTATTTTTAAAAATGCAAATAAAGTTTATTGGTTGCCTCTTACCTATGTTTATAGATTTGTTCTTATATATACTATTTTTAAAAGCAGTCTTAGGTTCATAGCAAAATTGAACATAAAGTAGTTTCTCCAGCCTCCCTCCAACACACAGATCCCACTATTGATATCCTCCACCAGAGTGGTACATTTGTAATGATGAATGAACTTAACCTACTTTGCACATCATTATCACCCCAAATCCATCATTTACAAAAGCAACTACTCTTGGTAAATTCTAAGGGTTTGGGAAAATGCTTTATGATAGTATCCACCATTACAGATTCACACAGAGCAGTTTCACTGTCCTATAAATCTGTGCTCTTTTTGTTTACCCTTCCTCTCTCCCTAACCCTTTGCAACCACTGATGTTTCTGCCTCCATAGATTTGTCTTTCCCAGAATGTCTTATCATTGCAAGCCTTTTCAGATTATCCTTGGGTTCCTTCGTGTCTTTTTAGGGCTTGATAGCTCATTTCTTTTTAATAGTGAGTTATATTCCATTGCCTGGTTGTACCACAATTTATTTATCCAATCACCGACTGAAGGGTATCTTCCGAGCTTTGTTAATAATGAGTAAAGCTGCTAGAAACATTTGTGTGGGAGGTTGGACTGGATATAAATTTGAAGCTCCTTTGGGTAGATAGGAGTGCAATTTCTAGATCTTAGATAAGAGTATGTCTATATGGGTCTGGTTTTTATGCATTTGTAAAACCATACTTTAAAGCTTTTAATTTTGGTTGTCAACTTGATCAATCTTTTGTTTCATGATTTTTATCTTTGGTTTTGATTGGAAATCAACACCTGGGAGACTGTTAGAAATCCAAGTGACTTCAGCCCCATTCCTGAACTTCTGAGTCATAATCTATGTTTCTATGTTTCAATGTGTCCATTACTGTTGTGCATCATATTTCCCCAAATATGTAGGGTATTTGTTGCTCTCCACCCCTCCTCAGTATTTTAAATAAGATGGGTGATAAGCATACCAGGTTATTCTTATGGAGGCGTCCCCTTGGAAGACACTTGAAAAATGCTCTAAAACAATTGAGAAATAGTCTAAATCTCAATCTAGGACACCATAAATGATGGGTGATTATTTCTCCCAGTCTAAATGTAAAGTGTCCTTTTAACCTGGAAAAGAGAAATCTGTGCGGTAACAACAACTCTTCCACGTGTCAAAATATATGGAAATAATTTGTAATGAGACAATTAAATCTTCAATTTTATAGAAAATCATGAAAAGCTGAGGGCAAAAGGCCTTCAATCTGTCCAGATTTTAGTGGAGGCGGCAGAAGAGTAGACTGCAAGTAGATGGGAGTCTAATTTTCCCCTCCTCCAAATTTTGTCTATTACATCTGTGAGTCGAGGTCTCTTCACCAATAAAATGTGGGTAATTGTCACCTGGCAGTGGGAAGAGAGAACTTGCTTGTCAACCTTCTGGACTTTTGTACCCAGTATCGATGTCCATAAGTAAAAGTTCCAGACTTAGGAGCCTCCGCGTGTTCGTATTTTTTGCCAGGGAGCGACGCCACCTGGCTAGAGGTGGAGCCCTGGCGACCTGTACCTCCAACCCCCTCACCCAGCCGGGGACACACCCTCTACCCATTCCGTCCTTTAGATAGACTCCGTCATCAATAATTCATTAAGGCCCTCCTCTCTATTGGTTGACGACTCCACCCGCGCTGGCAGAGACCCAATGAGGAAAGAGTTGAGAGAGTCCTTCTGAATAGTGAACGAGCTTTCGTGACGTAGTGAGCGATGATTGGCTACAGCGGCGAGGGGCGGGGCCAGGCAGGGCGGCGGTGCGCGCGGCTGGGGCGACTCAGCGCGAGCGAGGGAGGGTCGAACGCTAGTTAGGGTCCGAGCGGCGGGCCGGCTGTGAGAGGGAGGACGCGCGGCGCGGAGCGGCAGAGCGGCGGCAGAATGTTCAGCTGGATGGGGCGGCAGGCGGGCGGGCGCGAGCGCTCGGGCGGCGCCGACGCGGTGCAGACGGTGACGGGCGGCCTGCGCTCGCTGTACCTGCGCAAGGTGTTGCCTCTGGAGGAGGCGTACCGCTTCCACGAGTTCCACTCGCCGGCGCTGGAGGACGCCGACTTCGACAACAAGCCCATGATCCTGCTGGTGGGCCAGTACAGCACCGGCAAGACCACCTTCATCAGGTAACCCGCCCGCCTGCATCCCCATCCCCGCCCGGGCCGGCTGCCCCGCCGCCTGTGTGGGGGCGCACCTGCCCACTTGTGGTCATGTTGTCCCGGCGTCCCGAGCCCTCGGGCCTGCTGCGGCGCCCACTTCCCTTTCGCGGAACCCCCTCGGGGCAGCTTCCCCCTCCGCCTTCGACGCGGCCCCAGGTTTCTCCTCCCGGGGCGGTGCCGGGGTCCCCACCCGGTCCATGGCCACCAAGTGGGGACTGCCTCTGTGCTCGCTGGCAGTAGGATCCCCGGCACCCTGTTTCCACTTCCACCGAGCTGGGAAAGGCGTTTCTGACCGACTTTACCCTGTGCCCCTGGCCTGGGGACCCGGGGGGGGGGGGAGGAGAGCTGGCCCTTCTGCCCAATAAGGAGAGCTGTCTTATTGGTGAGTGAGTGACCGCGGCCTGCGGCTGGAAATGGGCATGGAGGTGTGGGGTTTCGGAATGTGCTACTGAGTCATAGGGGGAGTTAAACCTATAACCCAGTTTCCGGAGCACAGCTATTAATAAATTGAATGAATGAATGAATATAGTAGGGGACATTGCCCAGGGCCTTTCCCTTCGGGTCCTTCCATGTTACTCCCACTTCCGCGGCCCCGGGGAGCGGCAGCGAGGCTGCCATCATTCAAGCGCTTACTCAGCCTCCCCTGTGTGGGCCCTGGGAAGTTAGCTGGGTGTCAGCCGCTCCAGCCGCGGGCCCTGTGGAACTAAGGGGGAGTGTCATATTACTGCTGGTTAGTTTCCATTTCTTAGGTGGGTCATTGCCTACTGCTCACCCTTGACAACTGAAACTATTTGTCATGTTCCCTGTGTCTCTGAAAGCAAACAATCACTGTTTGTGCCCTAAGGTTCAAGTCATATAGTTTCTTCCGGAGTGAGTGGCTTTGGAGGGAAGATACTTTACATTGAAACAGATTGCTATTTGAAAAGACGATTTTACTTCTCACTCCGTTGGCATACTAAGACTCATTTTCTTTGGTTAGGAGACTTGTTTGCCTGAGTTAAGCTTTGTGTCACTGAAGCAAAGTGGATCATCATTTAAGGTTTTGGTCCAGGGTTTTGGAGATTATAGTAGTATCTTCGTTATGTACGACAGGTGTTCAGAAAACTGCATCTATATTTGGATATAAGCCATTTCTATTAAGTGGAGACCTCTTTTTCTCCGCACCAGTGACCTAAATAGTTTCTACAAATAGTGTAGCTGTCACTACAGGAAATATAGTCAATCCATGTCTGTAGCTATACCATGAATGAATTCAACAAAGCCAGTAGTTTTAGATAGTAAATTGAATGTGACAGAAGATGCAAGAAAATTACTTTAAAATTGCTTCCATTTGATGCTTGTTAATAAACTGAAAATAGGATTAAATATGTTACTCCAGATATAAAGTCAGACATAGGAATAGTATAGCACTTGGTACCTTGAAAGAAGACAGAATACATTTAAGGTCTCAGTGACACTAACCATGTTTTAAGTGTAGGAGATAACAAAGTATTATGACCAAATGATACAAGAGTAAGAGGTAGATCTTTTGAAACAAACAGTAAGGGATTAGACGGTGTCAGTTTTCTGATAGCACAGGCAATAGCCATGGTGTGTTCACGGCACCCCAGGCATTTCCTCCTGTCTGTGCCCTGAAGGCTTTATTGTGCCCATGTGTGCTAGGGAGCTTCTGTTGATGCTGCAGCAACCTTATGTGCCCTTCCCTGCTCCCATAGCCTGCGGCAGGAGAACACAACTCAGAAGAACATGAATGGATCTTTTTTCAATTTACTATTTTACCTTATGTTTCACTCTTCATTACTTCATCATGTGAAGAGAACTCTGTAGAATAGCTAAACATTGCTTTAAAAAGGGGGTGAGATTTGATTTTTCTCCACACCTGACTTCATCCAAATGGACCACTTCTCGGTAAAGCACTAGAGCCAAGCACAACTCAAGGGTGCAGAAGGAATCACTTAATCAGGATTGCTGTTGATCTTAAGAGCGCCCTTGCTTAAGTGCCTTTGTCATTAGGCAGCAGGCCCAAAAAATGGGCTCGTGAGATTAGAAGAAAATCAGTGGAGACAGGAAGCTTGGTGTGAGGTTCAGGAGATCTAAATTTGATTTCAGAGTGGGAGCTAGGAGAAAGAGATTTAACTCCTGGAAGGGAGGCCCCAAGCAAAAAGGCCCCTTTAGAGTTCTGCACTGGAACTAGGACCATCCTGTGTCCTGCCTGTACCCATGACTGTCTTTTCTCTGAGAGTAGTCAGTGTGTGGACTGTTCATGTCCAGCAGTTGAGCACTAGAAGCTCAAAGCAGGTTTACCTGGCTGTGTACTCAGATTCTTATTCACCTGGTTTCCTGCACATCCCAAGGGGTCACTGATAAGGAGGGAAACCTCTCATTGTAAAGCCAACCAGCAAAGCCTCTGGTGTGTGTCCCTACTCACTCCTCCTTGGGCCCCATGCTTGGGAAGATCTGGGATTCCCCACTAATACATGGCGAACTGGGACATTTTTCAGGAATATTTCAGAGAAAAAGTGTGTGCCTTGTATAATGAAAGGGTGTCATAGGTGGGGTAGATGGAGAGCCTGGGTGTCAAGGAAATATACTCCTGCACGGAAGATCACCATGAGGGGCCCAAAGGGCAAGGGAGAAGATGAATAGGAGAGTCTTGGTGGACCCTTCTTACATGGATCAGAGAGAGACTTATAATGTAGAGATTTTTGTCCGGGTCTCTTGGGAGTGGATGCAAAACAGCTGGTGCACCTATTGACTCTGAGAATATTGCTTCTCAGAAGACAGAGGCTGCATTGAGAGGAACTCTTAGTGCTGTACCTCTGACTAGCAGGAAAGAATTGACCAGAGAAAGAGAAGCAATAGACACAGGGCAAGTGGCCAGATCATCTTTCCAACAGCCAGGAAGGGTAGATGTTGAACTTACCAGACTTGTATCCTAAACCTGAGGAAAACACATTTCAGAGATTCCTCCAGAAAATCCCTGGGCCCAGGTCTGTGAGAGAAGATATTTTCACTGAGGGGATGGGAAGCTCACTGAAAATCAATTTAAACTACAGGGTTGCAACTTTTTTTTTTTTTAAAGATTTATTTATTCATACAGAACTGGTACAGGCCAGAGATGCCGAGGGTGAGAGGATTCACCAGAGACAGAGCGGGGAGCAGAACAGGCAGATTGACGAAGTACACTGCTGAGGGGAGCAGAGGGCGGGTCAGGAGAGGTCTGCCTTGCTATGTGGTCACCTCCCGGGCAGGCAGGGATCGAACTCATGCGGAAGTGGCTTTAGCTTCTTAGTGCTGTGCTTTAACCCGCTGCGCCACCAGGGAGGGCCAGGGTTGCAACTTTTAAGAGCATTCTTCTGCCTATATGCTGTCCCTTGCACTCTGAAATTTTATCCTAATGAGGACAAAAGAGGGAAGCCACTCAAAAAATGCTATAAAAGAGTAGGAAGAAAAAGAAATAGAAGGCAAGGCACTCACTGGAAACAAATAAAACTCTCTTTCTCTACTCAAGATGACATAATTTTATTTTCCATATCCCAGGATTAAGCATCCTATGATATATTTAAATGGCCATAATTCTGTGATTAGTACCACTCAAGAAATTTTTGCATCTGATGCAATAACTTAAAAATGGATGCCCAAAAAGTAGGAATAAGCTAATAAACACAAAGACAAAAACAATAAACATAAGAAAAAAGGAGTATAAATAGCCACCATATAATCCTTGCTTGGCTTATTCCCTGTATATTCCTGTCAATGTATAAGCTTGCTTATTCTTCCTAACACTTGAATTTAGTAAAAACAAGATATGATGCTCTTCTAGGAAAAGATAAGCTCATGCTAATCACAGCAACATGGATGGAGCTGGAAGGGTTTATGCTCAGTAGAATAAGCCAGAAAGAAAAAGAAAAAATATTGAATGGTTTCACTTAGATGAGGAATGTAGGGGGACCAAGTAAGGGATCAGAGAAAAATTATAATAAAAAACAAAATTAACAGGCAGCTATAAATCAGAGACACTCTGCAGGGGAGGGAGAGGGACCAAAACAGAGGAGGGAAGAGCAGAGTGACTGAGAGGAGAAAGCCTACATTGTACAAAAAGGAAGAGTGATGTAAAATATATATAAAATTTTAAAAAAGAAGCAGTAGCAGCTGGAGTGAGTGGACTGAGAGAGAAAAATGCCTCAGACAACAGAAAAGTTTTCTGAAGTTGATTAAAACAAGAAAAAGTACCAGGAAGTGATAGGCCCACTGCAGGACACTCCTTTAACATTAATAGAAAGCAGAACTACACAACTATTATTTTGTTTCCTCCTTTTCCTTCAGAATCATCCAGAAGTGGTAGGAGGAAGCCCAGCCATGCTAGGGAGCTTGACACCCAGAGGATAGGAGCCCCCAGGGCCTGGCATAGACAAGGCACAGTAAATACCTAGCTGGAGAGCTATCTGGAAGGCGATAGAGGGAGGGCCATGTGGTTGTGCTCGAAGGACTGCTTTTGGTGTTTTTTTAAGAAACTGTGGAGAATATGAAAAGTATCAGAAAATTGGAAATAGACAAATGTCCCAGATTTTCAAAAAGGGAGAATGTACTCAATTAAAGAACAAAGCCCTGTTTCGTCCTTTAATAAACTCTATACTCAGTTATTAAAGGTAAGTGAAAACACTTACTAGGAGGCATCATGAGAAAAATCCAGTTAGGGAAGGAAGCACTGTGGATCTGTTTGGTGATCCTCACCCTTATTCGTGAGGAGCCCCTGCACCCCAGAGTTGTCTGTGCCAAATGCCCAGCCCTTTGTAGATCTCCCTGGAAGACTGAAATGTATTTCAGTTTACATTTCACTGTGTAATGTACCTACAGACCTTGGTGTTTGTTATTCAACTAATAAGGCCTGGACCTGTCTATCATAGAACTTAGAGCTTCATGCAGAATGTGGAAAAGAATCAACAAGTATTTCCAGCTCTGGGTGA